ACAACCTTACATTGAAAAACTATTTTAATGTACCGCATCTCATTTTATATGTCTTACTGCATTATTACAAAGAAAGATTTCTTAAGATATGATATGAATGCATTAAAGCATTTACTCTCATAAATATATAACAATAGTGGAATAACAAAATAATTAATAGATATTTCTCTGTTTAAGCTAAGACAAGAGTATCATAGCAAAAACCCATATGTTAAGCATTATTTTGCTTATTTACGTATAAAAAAGCAAAAGGCAATCTGTTTTATCCAAGAAAATTAAATTCTCTTCGTATAAAACGCTTTAAATGATATCTTCCGTGCAAAAATTTCACTTGAAATACAAAAGCGGAAACAAATATGAGCAAATATTAATATTCTAGAATATTTAGGGATTTGGCGGCCATCTTTGACGCCATCTTGGATTTTTAAGCTACGCATCGGACTTGAACCAAATGAATATTCATTCCGGAAACTAGAGACCCAGACGAACAATTTGGTATATAAAACTTGCTGTTGGCTGAGATAGACCACTTCGGTGTCATTTTACCCAATGAATTAGCAGTTGTTTTGTTTTTTTTTTAAATATTTTTGCAGTGAAATCTGGAAAATAAATTACATTTTGATATGTTGATATACATACCTGGTTAATGAAATTCGAATCCTTCAATATGTTTTCAGTCTTGTTTGAATTACTTCCAACCACATTTTCCATTTTCAAAATATCTTGACTTTGGAGAAAAACTAAGACTGCCACTACATTTTGCGGCATAATACATTTGTGAAGATAGACACCTTATTACGTAAAGCACGAGCCGGTGGCTTGTGCGTCTTACACGTGCGCATTAAAAATGTCTTCAGAATATATCTAGAGATTATTAAATTTTTTATTAACATGATTTTGTGTGAATACAAGAATCTCATACTGATGCTTCTGATAGGGGCGTCCGCAGTGGTTAAGGTTGCTTACTTCAAACCACTTGTCCCTCGCTGCTCTGGGTTCGAATACCGACAGTAATTTTGAATCCTTTGACGTGAGGAACCTATCCAGGTAGCATACAGAGCGTCGGTAGATTTTCCCAGGTGCACAAAATGGCACATGAAGTCTCCCTCCACTAGTAAAGATGGAAAGTAGCCACATGACCAATATTGCGTTGATGCGATGTAAACCCAACCAATAATAAGTCCCGGCACAGAAAGTGAAAAAAGACGCAAACATTAAGCCAGAAACTCTCCGCGGATTCGTTGGACCAGGAAATTGTGTTCACATTTTGTGAAAGTAACAAAGTAATCTGAGCATGGGAAAGATAATTTAGAAGATAGGTATTTATGGAATACAATCAACTTTGATACAAAGTATATGCTAATGTTGAAACAAAAATAACACGACCAATATATACATGACTGGAACCACAATCAATCTGAATTATTCTACTATAGACAATCCGAAATTTCTATACGGAAAACACTTTTTAATCATATTTATTTTTTCTCCTTCAAATTCAATTCAATATTTTATTTGACATAAACATATACAATGTGCATCGCCAATACACAACTGTATGGAGGATTTAATGTACAATTGAGAAAAGTATGATATTACAAAGTTACAGTTGTAGACAATACATGCATTTAATAATTTATTAGGCAATAAATGACATTAGTCAGATATAATTCTTTTAAATTATTTTACATTATCAACACAATGCAGGAAGTAGTTAACAAACTATAACAATAAATACAAACTCATTAAAAAATGATGAAAAAATGTAATATGGTAATTACACATTTCTTTTAACATTAGCTAAATATATACATCTTGAGGTTTTGTTTAAAATGATAATCTGAGTACTTTTCTATAAGTAGATTATGAGCGGAACATCTTAGCCTAGATAATGCAATTCTGTGATTAACAATAGAGATACTTGATAAATATTTCTCTGTACAAAAATCTGTCTTTATCTAACAATATGTTTCTAGTTTTGGTGAGATACGAAGTTCAGAAAAAAAACAACTGTTGAATATACTGATCATAAATTGATCTAATAACACATTAACAGATTAACTAAGATTATACTCGGCTCGAAAGTGAGAGATATTCTGATATTGATACAAACTTAAGAATATGCTAACTTTTTTCTGACAAAGTTGAGAAAGAGTACCACTTTTTGTTAAGGTGCCTCACTTTTAGTGATCTCTAGCAAAAAAAAATTAAAATTATTAATTTCTTTGCATGTTCGAACAAATTACAACAATGCCGCGCCTTAAATCATAACCTTTTTTTCAAAAGCATTTCTCCTACTCCTTTATAGATGTGGGCAAATTGAAACTACCCAACATTTCTTTTCCGAGTGCTGTGCATACGATGCCGTCCACAGAACACTCCTCCTTAACTTGCAAGATTTCAGCATAAAACTTCATAAGCTTCTCTATGGTGACCCATCTCTTACATACAAGAACACCGTTATTATATTTACACATGTTCAAAATTATAAAGAAAAAAAACGAAAAGATTAATTTAGATTCATTCTTAATGAGACTTTAATCCTCTCCTATTCCCTTTCTTCTCTTTCCCACTGTTTTGTTTTCTTCTTTAATACATTGTATTCTTTTATTTTAGACATGTACTTGTAAAATTGTAAATCTACTCTATATAATAGTAAGTTTAAATATAAATATATTTTAACATATATGTATATTTAATTCTTATTCCCTTGTCTAGTATAACTATCAACTTATTTAAGACAAACAATAGTTCGCAAACGGAGAAGAATTCTGTAAGACTTGTCTTTCATTCTCATCTTTCTCTATTATTTATCATCTTTCATTATTATGTATAAATAATTTAATTTGTTTGTTATTTTTTTGTATGTACATTATATATACTTTTGGGAATAAATATGTTTAAACCAACAAATTAAAAGCCTAATCTTGCTGCTTAATCGCTCAAAACTACTTGTTTAAAAAAATCAATGTACATGTGGTTTTATATTTCTTATTTACTTGTTCATATTGAAATTGTTAATAAATTATAGAAGTACATGTATTACTCATTGTTTCAATGCTATTTTTGTATGTAATCGTGATGCCATGGCAATCTTTTTGATATTTGTAAATTTTGTAATATTGATTAAGTCATATCGACGCTTAGTAGCAAAGGTGATGTATTTAGCAAGTCCTATTAATTCGGATTTATTTTTTTTACTTCAAAAGCTGCAAATTTAAACATACTCGGCTTTCTGAAAAAAATGACTTAATGAACTCCCTACGTAATACAGTATAACAATTGCAAATGATAATAAAATGATATTCATCCTGAATTTCTTGAAGATTACATAATTCACATTTACTTTCTATAAGGCCATAAATCTCTGATATTTAATTTATGAGAAGATAACCTAATACGAGATAAATTTTGTTTGTAGGATTTAATAAATAAAACTATACACTATAGCTATGTAAATCATATACCGGTATACAAATGTATTTATTTATTATCCCCAAATACTGGAGAGCAAAACGTATTAACAAACTAAATTAAAATCGTTCATATAACAGATGAAAAGTATATAAAAACAAATAGCAATAATTAAAATTGAGCCGTGTCACGACAAAACCAATATAGTGGGTTTTCGACCAGCATGGATCCAGACCAACCTGCGCATCCGCGCAGTCTGATCAGGATCCATGCTGTTCGCTATCAGTTACTCGACTTGTAAAAAAGTTGGTAAGCGAACAGCATGGAGCCTGACCAGACTGCCATTATGTTGGTTTTGTCGTGACACGGCTCATTAATAATGATATATAATACATAACTTAAGAAATACCAATGCAGATTGTACTCGGTTATAAGTTTATTTATTGTCACAACGCACCTTAAAATTAATGCTTATTTTCATGAAAATTTTGAAAATGTATTTAAAAGTATAATGATGTGAAGTATCCAAAAATGAAGCAATTTACACATTACAAACAGCGTTAACACCCTACGTAAGTATCCAAAACGAAGAAATAATATTAAAAAAAATATCGCAGTAGAAATATTGTTATAAATACTTAAAAATCAACCATTAATCGCAAAAACATGTAAATTATTAATCACAAAGCTTTAAGCTTTTTACTTTCTCTAAGTTTAAGTATATTTTTCTGGGGTTTGATTTTATTGAAATATTTTGGCTCTTCCGGAGCCATGCAGCTTGAAGCGAAAGCGAAAGCTAAGACTAAATTAAATTCGTTTCAAAATTTAAAAAAAAGATGATCATGGTCAGACTTCTGTATTAATTTTCCCATAGACTTACATTAAAAAAATGACCCCTAAACATACCTTAAAATTGAGTATTTATCCAACTGGGTCACTTAAAACTGACTGACTTAAGAAATATACAATATACTCAGAAATAAATCAAATTGTGCGCTTTTCTTAGCCTGATTTAGTGAAACGCATTGCAACGCTCTTCAAATTTGGGTTACTTTTCACAATCATAATTATTCTCGAAAAAAAAAGAGTGAGCGAATAAATTCTTACGCGCAAGTTATTGGTCTAGACTTCATCTATGGATGAACAATTTTAAGCGACGGACTTGCTGTGTAGTTTCGATCACCAAGAAACAAGAACAAAAAATCCTTAATTTTAGTCACACGCCCAGATATAATGTTAATTTCTTTTAAGTTTGGATTTTCGTTGAAAGATATATACTAGAAATATTTAGTTGAAAGTAGGCAGTTAATAAAGTAAGTGCAAGAGGAAGAATAAGATAAAATTTGTGTATACAATAACATGTTGCTAAATGGACCCTGAAACTGTTATATAATTATCAAAATCTATTTGTCACTAGCGTGATCAAAATACAATGTAATTATGAATAGCAAAAATTTTGAAATAACCAAAGTAAGACAAATGTAGACCAAATGCCACAGGAAGTCGTCATCACATTTCTTATCTGTATAGGGAAATCTAGGACATATTTATATCAATTACTTAGTTACTTTGTTTTGTAATTAGACCACACTTTTAATCCCCTCAGTCACATGTTTTGGCACCATTATTTTTCTTTACATAACCATTTGAAATACAATTTACTCACACGTGAACATGTGTATGTATATACGTATGTATTTGATGGCATATGTTATCGCTGTCTGGCAAGTGAGTATAAAAGAAACTGTATAAAATTGAAGCACAATAAAAAGCTGATGTTCTCATCGATTTCAAATTAAACAATTTCAGCATCTAACTTCTTTATCAACAGGTAAGTCTTTTTCTAAAAATATTTATCTGGCGCACAGTAAGCCTTACGAAAATATGAAATAAAACTGAACTATTGTGGCGTAATATCTAGTTTATTGTCTTTTAAAATTGTATTTCCTCACCGTCAATGTATACTTGCGTTCGCAGTTTTTATAAAATAATAAGTTTTTTTTTCTAACGGATATTTAAACCTCTTGATTACTTTCAGCATGATGATTATAAAATTAACGTGTCTCGTCGCAAGTTCGATCCTTGTTCTAAACTTGGGTGTGGCAGCCGAAGTACCCGCAGGGTTCAAGACACCATGGTTTTGTCATGATCTCGAGTGTCCGGTCTACCAAGTAGTGGAAACAAATAGCGTATGTATATTACATAATATTATTCATATTATGAGGTGCAATGAACAGGTCAGGTCTTAAAGATATGTTTTTCGTCGAATTCCTTTTATAAGTTAAGATGGCGGTACACTTCTTAGAAAAAATCATGCTTAATACATTTGTATCGGTATAAGAGACACCTTATTTTTTTCTTTTATATCTTATAAATTGTGCAGTTTTGCTAATTTGATAGATTAGATAAACCGATGATCTGCTGTTATACAGCCACTTGTAAAACGCCGTTTGTATTTCTTTCTTTTAGAATTTTGAAACACGTCACTACAACGCGTCAGTATGGATTGCTACCCAGAAGTCTCTAGTGAACAACACACGAGAAACAACACGAGATATGTTCTTCAAGTTGTTTCATTACATTTCAGGAAATAATTCAGCACGTGAGTAATTAATATAATGTTCATAATTAAGAGTTTTCATAAATAAAGGCCTCATGCAAATATGGCGGTATTCAGCCAAAGAATAAGGCCGTCATAAAAACTCTAATTAAAAACTAATTATTGACAATTTATTAATAAACATAGAAATATTAAAAATGTCAAAAACTTTAGGGTTTATGGCCAAGAATATGCATGTTTTTCTGTTTCCAATAGATTTTGATGCGAAAATTACAATAAAAACGCTAAAAAGTGTTAAAAGAGCTCCTTTCATAAAGTTTCAGCGTACTTCTCTGTTACCGCAGAAAAGTGGCTTATATATTTAAAAAATATCAACATGCAGAATTATCCTGTTCAAAATTGCGTCCTGTTTTTTCTATGTGTAGCGTTAGTTTCAATATGGCCGAATTAAAAAGCCAATTATGTTGGTTCTACTAAACAACCTTAAAATTTATAGTTCATCTATAGCAGGGGTCTGTGGTCGAGTGGTTAAGGTTGTTGACTTCAAACTACTTGCCCTCACCACTATGGGCTCGAATTACGACAGGTCCCTTGGATTCTTTTATGTGAGGAAGCTATCCAGCTAGCTTACGGGACGTCGATGTTTCTACTCAGGTGCCCGTTCGTGCCTGAAATAATGCACGGAAGGGCACCTCAGGTCTTCCTCCACCAGGAAAAGCTGGAACATCGCCATATAACCTATACTTGTTACTTATGAATTTTTTTTATAAAATTAGCCACTTTATTTACCTTTAATTTGAAATTGAATTTAAGTTGGTGTGTATTTTTGCAATATGATGAAATCATTTAAAAACGGCCAACTACTGATGAATAAGCTCAGCTATTTCACGTTTAAAAATTGTAGTCCTTAAAATCTTTTTATGATTATGAATGATAATTTCATATTTTAGCCAATAAAATGCTTGTTGGCAAGTAGAACAAGTAATAATTCGGGACACCCAGGCACCACAGACACTTTATTAGCTAGAAATAAGGGTGGAATACTTTACTTATTTTGTGTGCGTGTCTGTTTGAGAAGGAGGATTCTCTTGAATTCTTTTGAGGGAAAAGTTTCCAATCTTTGTTATTTTTATATTGAAAACTTTGAATTTCTAAATCAAAGGACAATTCTATCTGGTTAAGGCTTTACCTGCTACTAAGAATATCAATTTTCAAACAGGAACACAGAAATATAAAATACCTAGCAAAATACGCGTCTGATGTAAATAATTATATCTTACAAGGAAACATGGTGAGTTACAAGAAAAGATATTGATTTGTCTGTTTCAATTAACACATATAACAAAAATGTTCCATCACTGGAAGGTTTCATAATATTAGTAATAAATGCGTACATTAAGCATTAAGTATACACACTTTTCGCTTTTTTACAGACTTGAAAATACCTATGACAGCTCCAGTTTTGAAACAAATAGGTATTTGCCAAGGTCAAAACTGCAAAGCGGACGTGACGGAACATTTCATGATGCCATTCAACCTTCAGGCAAACCCTCCGACACCCACCGAGACTGGAGTATTTATACGAAGACTTCCGGAATTTACCGTATATGTCCGGTAAATTAATATATATAATTATGTATCTATTATACAGTATATCTTCTGAATTCTGGAACTTTTAAAATCCTGAAACTTCTGAATTCCGAACATTTCTCTTATCATTATTTCATATGATTTTAATAGTGCTGATATCTTTTACATCACATTTCTTACATAACATTACTTAAAATAGTGCTGATTACCTATTACATCACATTTCTTACATTATATAACTTTAAATGGTGCTGATTACTTATTACATCACATTTCATGCGTAACATTACTTTAAATAGTGCTGCTTACTTATTACATCACATTTCATGCGTAACATTACTTTAAATATTGCTGATTACTTATTACATCACATTTCTTACATAACATTACTTTTAATAGTGCTGCATACTTATTACATCACATTTCTTATATAACATTGCTTTAAAAAGTGCTGATTACTTCTTACATCACTTGTCTTAGATAACATTACTTAGAATTAAATAGTTCTGATTACTTCTTACAGCTCATTATTATATAAAAGTGCTGATGAATTCTTCCTTTACACCATTTTAATAATGCCGATAGTTTCTTACATTACATTATTATAACTTTTCTGGTGACTGCTTACATCACATTATTATAAAACTTCAGCTTTCTTCTTACAGATCGTATGGAGGTTATGGATCAGAAACAATAACAAAACAAAATTTAGACACATTGATGAAAGATTTACAGACCGCAAACAAACTATTTAAGCAAGACCACTATTACACAGCCGGTTATGATGGACCATATGCTTTCATCCGACATAACGAAGTTTGGATAGCTGCGTTGTAATTTCTTTTCTAATATAAACAGATACTTGCTATCTACTTTATTCCAAACTCATTTGTGTGAAAAAGTGTCTATCACAAACAATACTAATGTTAAAGTATACCCATGCATTGATGATACAGGTTCATCGCGTTCACGACACTTTTTTCTGATTCATCTTCAAAGCAATTTAAAAGAAAATAAATGCCACGACATATCAATCTGTTAATTTGACATTTCTTTATATTAAACGATATTGACGGTTTTACTCAGTGCTAAACTTAATCGAAATCACTAAGATCAGTTATGATCACATGTTTTAGTCAGTGTTTAGATTCCTTTGTTTTGTACAGTTACTATGAACTACGTGACTAGGTTTCTATACCCACTTATCAGTTAAATGACAAATACTATTTGAACAAAATATAACGCGTTCTACAACATAAAAAAGGAAGAAAGAAAAAAAAATAAGGACAACCTTTAAATAAAATATTTGTATATGAACGTCATTTTTGTCTGTGCATGTGTGTGTTTTCTAATAAATGTGAATACTGTCGGAGTTTTGGTATCAAGATTATATGATGTCGTTTATAAATGTTGTTGGAAATTTATATCATTGTTGCTATTACATTTTGTTGCTATGGTTTGATTTTGTACAAGTATTTGACTGTGTGCTTTGTTAGTCGAGTGCTCTACAAACCTAGCACTGTTTTATTAATAAACATTTTTTTTAAAAAAGACTGATTTCTTGAAAGGATAACGTGGAAACACGGCGAAGACATTTGTAGGACTCGAATTCACGATATTTTGTTTTAGAAAAGCAATTCTTATGTTGAAAATATGGCTATGGTACATTGATGATACAGGTTCATCGCGTACACGGCACTTTTTCTGATTCCAAAAATATCCACTTGCAAAGAAATTAATACAAAAATGCCACGACATAATAATATGTTAATATGACATTTCAATTTTATATAACAATATTGACGCATCATATAATCTTGTTACCAAAACTCTGACAGAATTCACATTTATTTAACTTAACCCATGAAATAAAAAGTAATTACATGCGGCAAGTGTGCCTTTAGTCCATATTGGCATTCTTGGTTCAAATTTGCCCTATAAAATTGATAATGAAATTAAATAAAAAAGGTTATTTTTTTCGTTTTTCGTGAAATGTGGAATATATTTTCACGCAACATGATAAAAAGCCACATTTTATTAAATTTCATTATCAATATTATATGGCAAATTTGAACCAAGAATGCCATGCACACTTACCTCATGTAATGACTGTTTATTGCATATGAAAATATGTGGCATTTTATCATGCCGGAAATAGCCAAGATATGGGATTTTGACACACTTGCGCAAATACGGGATTTTTGCATGTCATATTCAGAAAAAAGAAACGCATTTTTATGACTTATTATAGTAACATATGCAATAAAACACCCTATTTCATGGGTTGAATTAAATAGATGTGAGTTTTGGTATCAAGATTATATGATGCTGATTATAAATATTGCTGGAAAGTTTTTTCTTTGTTGCTGCAGTTTGATCTTGTAAAAGTATTTGACTGTGTGCTTTGTGCTCTACAAACCTAGCACTGTTTTATTAATAAACATTTTTTTTAAAAGACTGATTTCTTGAGAAGACAACGTCGAAACACGGCGGAGACATTTGTAGGACTCGAATTCACGATATTTTGTTTTTGAAAAGCAATTCTAATGTTAGAAATATGGCTATGCTACATTGATGATACAGGTTCATCGCGTACACGGCACTTTTTCTGATTACAAAAATATCCACCTGCAAAGAAATTAATACAAAAATGGTACTGTGAATTTGACATTTCCAATTTATATTAAACGATATTGACCGTTTTACTCAGTGCTAAACATATTCGGAAATCACTAAGATCAGTTATGATCACATGTTTTAGTCAGTGTTTAGATTCCTTTGTTTTGTACAGTTACTATGAACTACGTGACTATACCCACTAATCAGATAAATGACAAATACTATTTGAACAAAATATAACGCGTTGTACAGCATAAGAAATAAGGAAGAAAGAAAAAAAACCCCCAAAACAAGGACAACATTTGAATAAAATATTTGTATATGGACTTCATTTTTCTCTGTGTATGTGTGTGTTTTCTAATAAATGTGAATACTGTCAGAGTTTGGTATCAAGATTATATGATGTTGTTTATAAATGTTGTTGGAAATTTATATCATTGTTGCTATTACATTTGATTGCTAGGGTTTGATTTTGTACAGATACTGAGTGCTTTGTTAGTCGAGTGATCTACAAACCTAGCACTTTTTTATTAATAAACCTTTTTTAAAAAGACTGATTTCTTGTTTTCATTTTACTTTATACGATTTACTCGTAGTTATTTTGCATTCAACTGTGCCATCTTGGTAACACAAAAGCAGAGTCAACCAAACCAAGTGTATTCAATTTAATTTCAGTTTTAACTTCGAGCCCTGCTTCCTAGGGTTTTGAAAATTTTTAAGAATTCATTCAACATTTTCCAAGACGAAATCTAAGTAGCATGGCTGAGATGGTTACCTCATCAAATTGAAAAACAAAAAATGGGATTATAATATATCTATAGATTCAATTAAATATTCAATAGATATAACAACATAAGTATTTCCTGGCTTATAGACCAATGTTTTCTTGGGGAAAACCACGTGAGAAGGAATTTCCGCTTTCACTAGAATCCACAAACGAAGTTTGTTACGATAGTTGGCGAGATCAATCGCAACTACTCGGCCCTTTCCGTCAGTCTTCGGATAAGGACCTCGAGCACAATAGTATGAACATGGTATTTCGGATGTAAACAAATGGTAATTTAAGGCTGGGTTTTGTTGACCAGTTTATTTTCAATATATCAAGTAAATGCCCGCTTAAAATAGGTGAATTCACAAATACAAAAGCAAACAACACATTATTTGTATATTTATTATAATGGTTGTAAAAACGGAAAGAAAGTACAAAATGCCAACAAACCAGTTGACATTCAGTCGCATTTGTATAAAATTGTACATCAGTGGGCATATTACTTAAATTAAAAATGGTTGTCAGATACATTTTCAATCATAATTGAACCGAAACAGACTTTTTTTTTTTTGGATGTCAATTATGTGAACATTTGTTAAATACATCTCGTGGTAGAACTACTTTCATTCCGTATTGTTTCCGATGTATTATAGATAATAGCCGAGGCAGTTCCGAGTGTTGGCGAGATATGACGGTTATTGTCGGAGATTGGCGATTTCACAAAATAATGCCTGAACGTTTTCAGGACGTTACGTTATTTGTTTACTTTTTACTATTGTTTGTTAAAATTTCGGCTGAAGATATGTCAAGAAAGCATTGAATCTAGGTTATCTATTTTAACACTGCATAAGGAACTTTCATCACGTTTTAATATATATCTATATATATATATATATATATATTGTTAAATTGCTGAACTATCGTTTAATTAAAATTTCATTATTGCAGGCTACAAGAAAAAGTATACTACTTAAAGCTGAAATAATTGTTGTTGTTGCTGTTGTTGTTTTGCGTTGAACTCGTTCTGCGTGTTATAAACTATAATTCAATAATAAAAAGACCCTTTTCCCCAGAGATAGACACAAGAACATCATATATTTTTATGTTTAATGTGTCTTTATTATTAGATATTATGTCGGTAAATTTTGACCATGATATTACACTATTTATATTAAATTGAAATATCACGATACAGGATAGTCCTGTCATTTACTTTTAATATTGATTACCATTACTAAGATTCATATTATCATTAAAAAATATATATTCGCTAATGTGTTTCCTTGGCAGCGTTTTGGTTACGATAATTGTTTTGACGTTCTGTATATTCTGTAATTTGGAGCAGTGATCGACTTGTTAAATTAACATTATGTGTCTGTTTAGAATTATCTTTAAAGATCGGTAGGTTTATAATAATTCCAAGTTCGCTGGTTCACAATTTTTCCAAAATCTTGCGCAGTCTCAAGTTTAAATTATAAAAGTGAATGTTAATGAATAAACATTTCTTTGAATCTAATGACTGCGTTTGGTTGTTTCTGTATTATTGTTCCCTGCGGTCTGGAGACCGCAGGGTATTGGTACGCGTTTAACTTTTGAGGCATGGAGGAGCACGTGACCTGTTTTCGGTACATGGAGGAGCATGTGATCTGTAAACCGTACACGATTGGTTAATTGACCTTTTCGAAAACCTGGCTAAATACCGTTTGTCGGTACGTTACGGAATTACCTCTAGGGAATTAGTCAGAATTACACCAAATTAAGAACAAAAAACTATTACGTGATATTTCTAATTTTTTATAATTATTTTACCGTTTAAGGTGGAAAAACTTGAATGATGTATTTGAAAATTATCATTGTTTCTTTAATATATGTATCTCAAATTTAACAAACAATAAATTGTTTATACTGAAAATCTACAAAATTAAAATATTCGTAGTAGCATCTGCCATAATAAATAGAGATATTTTCTGCGTAAACTTGTGTGTTTACTTTATTTTTTTTTATTTTTATTTTTTTTGCTTGGAATTATTCATAAAATGGTAGGCCTATTTAATCATTTTCTTAAAAAGAAATAATTGTTTTATGTTCGACCTTCTCCGGTCATCAACGGTCACCAGTTTCCAAAGACCTTCTTCTATATTGACCGATTAGTGTCAACTATATTCCTGATACAAACGTTTATTTATTCCCCTCTCCCAAAACAATGTTGAAAATAGTTAAATGAAATATCTTTATATCATTAAAAATGTTCCCCGCAGGAAACCATTTTACTTGTTACATTAATAGTTAGTGATGTTTTTATATGTTGTCTGATGCGTTCTTGATGCTACCCCTGCTGCTTTGACTTTGTGTTTTTTGTTTTATAAATCATTGTTGCCTGTTTGACTCTGTTATAATAACAAATTGCCATGTACATATCACACACCATGACACATTTATACATATATATATTATACGGAAACAACAAATATTCCAACCTTCTCGAAACATTAACGTCTTACATATTTCCATGTAATAAAATTTCTAAACGAAACATTACAAGCGCGAATACCTTTACTGTATTGTCGAAGGTTTTGCAAGTTATTATTTATATGTGCATAATTTAATATGAATGTTTGCGATTTTAAGGCAGGCAAAATAGTAAAAATGTGTTGTTTTGATTACCCGAGCAATGCTTATGTCAGTGTTGAAAAAGGTACCTTAATTAAAAACATGTACATGTTTAATTATATAGCCTAACTCATTTATTTTCTTTAACTTAAACCAAGACACTTAGAAGAAAATTAAAATGATACAAAAAATGAATGCAAAGTTCAAAGGTACCTCATGCGTAAATTTCAGGAATGACCAGTTAAAAGGGCAGGCCGGAAAAAAACTAAACAAAAACTGGAGTGAAGAAAACATGGCACATGCGTTCATCGCTGTTAAAGCAGGAACGATGAGTATTTCAGCAGTGTCCAGGGCATATAATGTCCCAAGAATGACCCTTTCAATAGGGTAAATGGATAAGTACAAACAGAAGCTAAAATGGGAGTTAAACCTGCATTAACTAACGAGGAATAAACTTTGTTATTCCATTACATAGAATATATGGCAAATCGCGGGCTTACCATGACCATTCAACAAAGTTTACGGTTTGCTTGGTGTATTGCCGAAGAAAAGGATAGAAGCGACGTCTTAAGTAAAAACTGCCCGTCCCATATTTGTTTGAAAGGTTTCAAAGAAAGAAATCCGTGGCTTAGTACTAGAATTCCTGATCCATTGGACAGAGGTCGCGCAACTTAATCAAATATTAAGGCGTTACAGGATTACTAATCCTTGATTAAAGATACACTTGAAAGTTGTGTTCTCATGTCAAAGTACCAATGTATTTACAATTGTGATGAGATGGTCTTTTTCCTTTATAATTCG